CAATTTTTGTGTGTCACATGGTATGTTGAATACAGCATTGGTTCAAATTAGATGTTTGTGAAGTCTAAATACAAAGTTATAGTTTCTAATGAACTAGAAACTCAAATTACTGATGTTGATAAGCTAGAATATAAAATAAGAACCTCCTATTTTTGTATTTGCTGAGATATTGCCACATTTACTGAATCAAACACAGTGGCCCCCCACCCACCTCTTTCCATTTTTGGAAACTCTTGCTACTACTGTGTATGGCCTGTGAATAACCAATCGAAAGCTCAGAATGTCTATCTAGTGATTTTCTAAGCCTTTTTGAATTATTTGGGCAGAAATTCTTCCTTTTTTGTGCTAGATTCAAAGCAATAAGGTAAGACTTTAGTGAGCTACAAATTTCATATTTTTTGGACCCAAATACAGCTTAGTTACTAAGCTTGATAAATTATATTGGAATTTTATGATACTGATAAAGTAATTTTAAAATGTATATATAAAAAACCTAAAAAAAATTATTTCGTTTCACATCCTCCACATGCGAAATTTGATAAAGCTTAGAAACCTACAGCAAGCAGCAAACAAGTACGAAGTTCGTAACTAGAAGAGATAATTGTTTGCTATACTTCTTTATTTACTGTTCTATGTTTTAAGAAAAATAAGTTTAAGAAGTTATTTGTAAATAGTTATAATGTATATACATATATAATGTATTATAACTGAAATGTGACTGTATTTTACAAAATACTAGTCCACTAAAACAAAGCCAAGACACGACACTTTGTAAATGCCAGTTTTATATTCTTGGATATGGTAACACGAGTGCACATGCACTGTGTTATTGCAACTTCTGTAATGTTAGCCAGGTACTGCTGAAAGATCAATATAATAAATATATAGATATATAATGTTATGAGATTTAAGCTATTTAGACTAAACATTTGTGTTTTCATGTTATAACTTGTAATCATTCTAGAATGAAAAAAGCATCATTTATATTACTTCCTAATTTTTGATGGTGGTTACGAGATTGGTCAAATCGACCCAACCCATACAGAGATTCGATGTTGAAAATAACAGATAAAATAAAGTTTTTCTAAAAAGCATTTGATAATTATCTGGGGTTATTAAGATTTTGCATTTAAAATTTGAAAATTTTCTGATGCATAAAAGTATTTTTAATCTTACAATCAAAATTACTTTGTATGTTGGATAGTCAGTATTCAAAAATAAAAAATGCACGAGATAGACATTACTTAAGAAATCTTAAACTTAATACAAAAATCTGATATTTTGAGTACAAAAGACTTGTAATGTTTACTGATAATCTGCAAAATTTCATGAAGATACACTTACTAATTTAAAAGGTATAGAATGAAAACTATAGCAAGTACAAAATGATTACAAGATCGGTCCTTGGGACCGAGCCCGTACTGAAAGAATTAATTGACCCAGCTCTAATTATAACTGCCTTATATGGGTATTATGCTAGTGTAATACTGTCTGATTGGATGGATGTGAGCATGTTACAGTCTAAACTATTAATATGTGGTTGTACTCTGGTACAGTTCATCTTCAAGCAATAGAAGAGAAATAATCCATAATATTTGTATTTTATAACCATTGTGTTCACTGTTTCCATAATTATTTATAATATTGTAAGTCAGCCATTTAAAATTCTAATAGTTTTTGAGAAGTAATTTGTGTGTTTCAAGTAGTAACAGACTGCCATTTCTCATTAAAATCAAAGTAATACTAAGCAGAAGAATTAAAAACAATTAATTTTTACAAAGAGAGAATAGTTATTGATAAAACTGAATTTAAGGAAGGAACTCCCAATTGGCCAAAGAAAATGTATTGCACATATGAAATTCAAACTACCAACAATAACTAAGTTACATTTACAAGGGGTGTCCAAAAAGTTCATGGGCTGACCTATAAAGTGTTAAATATGACAAAACACCCTCTCCTAATGTTGCTTCCATGTCCTGGTGGATTTTTTGTGGTTTCATTTTCTTTTTAGCAAAATAACTAATCACAGCACAAAGTTTGATCTTCTTCATGACATTTAACATTTTGCACTTCTTTCCTTCAAAAACCCACAACATACACAAAATAAGCTTGATAAGTTATATGTTACATGTTATTTGCTCATAAGAACCTTAATACTTAATATTTATCAGAAAAAACCATAAATTCCAGTTTTTGTTATAGGTTCGACATAAACTTTTTGGACAACCCTTTTACTGCATAATATAAAAGTTTATACAATTTTTTTACCATTGTCAAACTGACCAAAGTTCTCTAAACAATCCAAATCTAGTTTAGAATTTGATACCTAATATGAAACCATTAGAATTATCCATAGTACATATAACTGTCTGTAGATTTACCCGAATTTCTTAGCCACAAATTTTTGAGGCTTTGTTGTTTCATTTCGGAGGAAGAAATTATGTACATTTCTCATGGAACAAATGTGTGAAATATTTCAAGGTAATAAAATAATGTAGATATTCAATGATTAGCTTACAATTCTTTTGACACAATGATTAAAAGCATGTTTGAGTGAATATTATGGTAAAGGATCAGACTTAACTACATTTATTAACCACCATAACAAAAATGAGTAGTTAGACCATAATTCTATGCAAATATAAATTTTGTGCTACGTGTTACTTACCATTTTGAAGGGATTGTTTACAAAGAACAGATACAAAATCAGCCGTCAGGTGCCCATTAATGTCGTTACTTGGTAGGAGTACAGCTTCCAAACATTCCCTTATTTCTTTCTGGACACCCTCATCAAGTTGGGTCAGAGATGTGATTAAGGGCTGAGTAGATGGACATAAGGACTGCTGGACAGCAGCACATAGCAACAGGACTGCAGTCTTGGCAAGTTCTAATTCACTGCCGTGCAAGCACTTATCATAATGAATAAGCATATCTGTATTTGTTTTGTAAAATTCTATACAAAAGAAAGATAGTAGGTTCAGTAAAATCTTATACTGTTATTGATACCAAAAATTATCGTTATTAAATGAGAATTCAGATGCAAGTTCCTGAAAAAATTAAGAGAGCTGTGTCTGATGTCAGTGATAGTATAATCTTTCTTGATATCACAAAACATATCAAATGTATTATTTGCATGGTACAAGAAAGACTTAAATCTTAACAGAATTTAGAAATATTTGGATCTATACCATTTCCTTATTTTCTTTCCCGATATTTTCAATCTATCAACTGGATGACTTTATTTTCTAGTGAACATTACATGGATTAGTAAAAACTTCCAATCTCACAATTTGGTTCACTCATATCTTGGGCAAGACAAAACAAATGTATGCACTGGAGACTACACTAAGTTTTCCACCCCTTTAGTTAAAAAGCAAAATTTTTAGATTATGTTGTTTTTCATAGTTCCTCTTTTGGGCAGAATGAGGCACTCAAGCAAATAACTAATTTTAGCTTTCCTGACCAGTGTTCTAGAAAAGTGTGGAGGCCATAGCCAATTATCTGTTTTTTCTCACTAAGCAATTAACAAATATCTTTATTCATTGGGCAAATAAATGGTAGATGGCTCTTAATTACAATACAAAGTAATGCATGTGAGATATCACAATATGAATTATGAGTAAATTTTGATGGGAATAACCTTAACAGTGTTATGTAAGAAAAATATAATGGTGTTCTAGTTGAACAGTGCCATTTCTAGTACCAGGGCATATAAAATTTTAGGTTGTATCTACAGAAATATTGCATATACAAGTCTAAAAAGGTTATAATGTCCTTACATAGGTCATTGGTTTAGCCACATTTGAAGTATTGTGTTCAATCTTGGGTTCTTTACCTCAGAAAAGGGATTAAATTGTTGGAAGGGTTCAGAGGAGGGTTACTAGAATGATGTAATAGTTATTATATAATGATAGGTTAAGATCTTTGAACTTGTTTTCTCTTGAAAAAAGATTTATAAGGGATCTGATTGAGGTGTGTTATAATTTTCCTACACTGAAAATGTATTTCTGATAGATACTTACCTCCTTTCAAATAATAGCTTTTCATGTTTCAACACTGAATTGGTGGAGAGACTAGTGCAAAATTTACTTAGAGAAAACCTTTGGAAAGCATTCAAAGAATGCATGGAGCATGACATGTCTCTGTAGAGGAATACACTCATGGGAAACTGCACTCCATCTGTACCAGGTACACTCTTCACCCACTGTGAAGATATGTCTGGACTGAAAGACGAATACACAATGCTTCCTGGTTTTTGACTGGTGATGACTCGCCAATAATGTACTGATGGGCCCCAGCCACTGTACCATTTGGTGCATCCAATTGAGTATTGAATTGCTCCTTTTCTGCCCAATTTAGTGACCCAATGCTGTCAGGTTTTGGATTTGAGTGGACTGCCATGTTGGCATTCCCCCTTCCTACCATCACCTGGATTCTGGTTTCCTGAGTGGCCTGGTGTTTGTTCACTGGGTCTGCACAAATGTTCTGCATGGGTGGTTGTAATGGAAGTTGTTTTCCCTTCTGCTTCCTAAGCTTCTGGTGAAAACAGTTGCAACCCTCCACCTACCGAAGTTATCATCCAGTCTGCAATAGGATGAGAGCTCCCTACCATACACATATGTGAGGACTTATGTTAGCTGGTCCAAATGTAATCCAACACCAGACCACCCAGGAACCAACATCCAGGCAGCTGTAGGATGAGGAATCTTCAGTCAAAACCATGGAGCATTGGATGTATTTGTCTTCCAGTCCAATGTAGGAGGAGGGTTCACTCCATCTTAACCAACAGAATACCACCACTACCCTGCTCTCAACTGAATGGGATTGACCACACTCAGCAGGATGCCTGCATGGTCCATCCCTCCAGCAACTAGGAGCTAGTAAGTGGCAAGGACTCCCATACTCTACTCAAAGAGGGGGAACATCAGTGGAGAGTCTGGAGGAAAGCAACATTTGAAAAAGTGCAATGGGTAACCACAAAACCTTATTTTTAAAAGCAAGCCATTCCCAATTTATTCAGAGGGATGGGCAGCTATCCCAACACTGTTTTACTCATGAAAGTCCATGATTTGGTACAGTTTGGAACAGACATATTTACGATGCAAAATACCATGAGGAAACTCCTAGTGGTCTTGTGAAACACCCCATCTCAACAGTGAACATTATAGGCTTTAAAGGCCGTACAGTGCAGAATTATGGATTAGTATATCTAGACAGATACCACATGCCACATAGTTGGATCCAACATGTCAAACGTGCCCCTGTATGAAAGTTAACATTTACTTAAACCAAAAATGTATTTCCAATAATACATAAATCCTCTCACACTACCACTATAACTCGACTGCTGGGGTTTCTTCATTTGCCTATCTAAGCATTGGTCTGATTTTTTATTTGCTTGCTCCAGTCTTTTATTCCCCACATAATTGCCCTTGGCAATATCTGTCTCATGACACTCTCCACCTATGTCAATGCACCATCTATCCTGGTACTGTATATAAGTGCCTCATTCAGATAATGTTTTAACTTTTTCAACACTGCAGTCTCTAACACCTGCTCTTAATGGGGAAGAAAGATGGAGAATGAAAGTATTATTGGAAATACATTTTATATTTAAGAAACCATTAACTTCCAAAACATGCATAACTTTGCTTACACTACAGCTAGAATCCCACATTGATAGGTGGAGGGGCTGGTGAGGGCATTGTCCAAAAAGCATGCACCTGCATAGACCATATGTGCCAATACGAGATTAGCACCCAAGTGGAGGAACCACATTATATCTATAACAGGTATGCTCATCACCCAGAACCTGTCAGGTGGAATTTGACAGGAACCGTCATCATTATAGGCCAGGCTTGTTGGGGAATCCCATTCTTGCCTCTAGGTGGTCTTATAGAACACCTCATTTCTACAAAGCCTGTTGCAACCTAGATAAAGTATATTGTGATAGTGATTGCTATTGTAGAATTGGTTTGATAAAGGAACACCTGTGTGGGCAACACTCGCCACAGAGTGGGATGCTGTGAAAAAGACGTAAGGGACCATGGAAAGTGAAGAAGAAACAATACTAGTAATGAAGATACTCATTCCTCTTTATAATTTAGTGGATGTGGTTAAGATTCAACTAAAGGGGTAGTCAAAAACCCTCAGAGGAAGATATTGCCAGATCATGCAAATAATGTGAGATAAAAGTATTGAAGAAGGTCCACATATCAACCCACACAATGTCCTCCAGCAGGCAATTTAACTGGACCACAAAGAACATAAAAATGCAACAAATCTGAAGTGGGATTCTGTGAAAAAAAGAGGCAAGGGACCATGGAAAGTAAAAAAGAGAAAAGATTA